CTTCATTTAGAAGAATTATGACGCCTCATGATGAAAGCCGAACTCCTTCGGAAGTTACGAGGCCGATGCCCCTTCTGACAACCAGAGCAACCATTTATTTAGGTACATGGAATGTTCGTACAATGTGGGACACCGGGAGAGCCTTCCAAATTGCTGCAGAAATGAGAAGATACAACCTAGAGGTGCTTGGGATCAGTGAAACACATTGGACGCAAGTTGGACAACAACGACTAACTTCAGGAGAGCTCCTGTTATACTCCGGCCATGAAGAAGAAAATGCCCTACATACACAAGGAGTTGCATTGATGCTGTCCAAACAAGCACAAAATGCACATATAGGATGGGAATCTCATGGACCAAGGATCATCAAAGCCTCATTCAAAACAAAGAAAGAGGGTATTACAATGAACGTCATCCAATGCTATGCGCCTACCAACGACTACAATGAAGACGCTAAAGATCAATTCTACAATAGGCTGCAGTCAATCGTCGAGAAGTGCCCAACAAAGGACCTGACCATTCTGATGAGAGATTTCAATGCCAAGGTTGGAACGGACAACACTGGATATGAAGACATTGTAGTGACTCACATTTATCACGAGAACACGACTGGCTTAATAAAAACAATTATTATTATAACCAGTGTTTGTTTTAATGTGCTTTTGTTTGACTGTGCTAATGACAGATATATTGTGCTTCCATTCTTTTTCTTACACTTTGATTGTGACTTCGAGCGAATTTGGTTACGCTCTGTAACCAGGCTTGTATCCTGGCAGGATCTCGGTATCCTTTCGATACCACGAGATCGCCAGCAAATATATCTCGACTTGGTCCATTAACTGCCTTCTGATATTTGGCTTTTCGGGGATTTTATGGATTTATTTGGTTACGTTCAACCTTCGCCTTCTGATTTACTTGGCACGTGTTTTTTGGTAGCGGTGTTCATAGTTAGTCTCGACTCGACACCACGCTACAACATCATGAGACGACATGGACTGGGAGAAAGGAACGAAAATGGTGAGAGATTTGCAAACCTATGTGCCTTCAATAAACTGGTCATAGGCGGCACTATATTCCCACATAAACGCATTCACAAAACCACATGACCTTCACCGGATCACACCACGCAAAACCAAATCGACCACATTTGCATCAACAAAACGTTCAGGAGGACGATAGAAGACGTAAGAACCAAGAGAGGAGCTGATATAGCATCAGATCATCACTTGCTGGTCGCCAAGACGAAATTGAAACTCAAGAAGTACTGGACAACGGGGCGGAAAATATCACAGAAGTTCAATACATCCTTCCTTCGGGATACTGACAAACTCAACGAATTCAAGATAGTCCTCAGCAATAAGTTCCAGGCCTTTCATGATCTACTCAATGGAGAAGAAGCTACTATGGAGAGCAACTGGAAGGGGATCGAAGAAGCAATCACTTCAACATGCCATGAGGTTCTGGGCCACAAGAAGCACCATCACAAGGAATAGGTCACTGTTGATACACTGGATAAGATTCAAAAAAGGAGGAACAAGAAGGCAGCAATCAGTACCAGCCGAACAAGAGCAGAAAAAGCCAAGGCACAAGCTGAATACACAAAAGTAAACAAGCTGGTGAAGCGGAGCATCAGAAACGACAGACGTAAATGTGTGGAAGATCTAACAATGACGGCGGGAAAGGCTGCGAGAGAAGGAAATATGAGACAACTGTATGACGTAACAAAGAAACTCTCTGGAAATCGCCGCAAACCAGAACGACCAGTGAATAGCAAGGAAGACGAGGTAATCACCAATATTGAAGAAAAACGAAACAGGTGGGCAGAACACTTCAAAGAACTCTTGAATCGAACAGCCCCACTGAACCCACCCAATATCGAAGCAGCACCCACGGACCTCCCAATCGATGTTGACCCACCAACAATTAAAGAGATAAGCATGGCCATCAGGCAAATCAAGAGTGGCAAAGCAGCAGGACCAGACAACATCCCAGCAGAGGCACTAAAAGCAGACGTAGCGGTAACTGCAAGGATACTCCACATTCTCTTCAATAAGATTCGGGATGAGGAACAAGTACCAAAAGACTGGAAAGAATGACTTCTAATCAAAATACCGAAGAAAGGCGATATCAGCAACTGTGATAACTACAGGGGCATCACTCTTCTCTCAATAGCAGGAAAAGTCTTCAACAGGGTATTGTTAAACAGGATGAAGGACTGCGTAGACGCCCAACTTCGTGACCAACAGGCAGGATTCCGTAAGGATAGATCGTGTACAGATACACAAAATTTAGTTACAAACCTCAACTTGTGAGATGTCTAGGCGTTTAAACGCGTCGTTCAAGAATGAAAATAGCAAAGGCTTCCTGTAAGACTAACATAAAGAATGATTACAACATACGATAGTCCAAAGACAGCCGATAGCTGTGTCTAAATTTGATAACAGTTTATGAACAACCGAAACTCGAACCAAGAGCAAACAATATGGAAACTGTTGCGTTTAAACAAATGCATAAAACTGTGGATAACCGTTACAGTAATTAAATTACAGTGATTATAATAATAAATACAATGATAAGTAAAATAAACGTTAAAGATATATGTGAACATTCCAGAATGTTACAGCACAACTTCAGTTACAACGTAAATGTGAAAATTGTTGGGCATACAGCTGCCTACTGAATGTAAATAAGTAGTATAAAACAACATACAAAAGAGTAGAAAAGGAACATGTAGGAACAATGTAAAACAAACTTAACAAGTACATTCTAGATCACATGGAGTCTATACCCAATACACAGCCGGACAGGCACATGATGGGGTTAAGGAAAAGTATAATCGATTACAGATATTTGGATGACTATTCAAGATGTGGTATCTGTACGACCTAATGATTCCTTTGTACTTGATTGCCCACCGGTTACGAATTCCAAATATAATAGATTCACTTTTGATCATCAGGATCTACTTGCTTTAAATTGCACTATTTCGAGAATTTTCAGTTAGTACATTAATTCGAATACTTCTAATTATCATAGGTACACCAAGTGAGATCTTGTGCAGTCAATCATATAGAAAAATTACCTAATCATAAGATGTTCATCATATAATTTTTTTTCTCCTTTAGTTTATGTTCTCAAGTAATGATCTTAGTAGCTATTCTGAACCTCGTCAAGTAAATTTCCGCTTTGAATAGATGTCGAGTTGAAATCGATTGACTTAAATGTGTCGGATTATGGTATATGGTTATATTTCGATTTCCGTAAGAATTTTCGTTAACTAAATAGTCGGGGAGACGTGGTTCACTATGCTCATCTTCCTTTCCAGAAGTGAATTTGATGTGATCTGAGAATTTGTTCATTAGTTAGGAGAAATTTCTGGCGAGAATCTACATATTTGAGTTTGATCTAATGGTACCGGGATAAGTAAGCGATTTCATACGAGATATAAATAGACTAACCATAAACGGAGATCCCATGGTCTTTCCGTTTGTTTCATCAGGGAAATTCCCTTTGATGGTGGAACGCGTTGAACTCAAGCATAATTTGATTACTTTCATGATTAAACAAATGCTTAGTTAGCATCTACTAGATAAAGTGTTATGATGTATGTGTCTTTCTGTCCAGAAATATCTTGTATATCGGTTTTGGATTGGAGTGATTTTTGGAGTACTGAGAGGTTTTCTAAGTAAAATTAGGTTTAATTTTTCTTCTAGCAGAATGATTTGGTATGTACTAAGAGTTCTGTGTGAAGGATCATGAACCATCCTTAGGTCATTAGAAGTAGTTTTTGTTGGTGATGTTTTCTGTTTTTATGCTCTCTTTGAGATTTTCTAATTTCTTGATTTATCTACGCTTGGAATCGGTTATATTTGGGGGACTTCATTTAAACCCTAAATACATTATTTCACATCTCTTTTTGTATTTGAACTAACGTGATGCAGTGTTAGATTTTTATGTCGTTTTAAAAAGTTCACTTAATTTTAAGTTTTCCAGGTTGTAAATTAACACTATCCCTAACATTTCCTTATTGTCGTTAAATAAAGTTTATTAAAATTTTCCATTTAAAAATAGCTGTCACATCATAATGGATTAAAATCCAAAACAAGAAGTCCACAGAATTCTGTTTCGATAAAGTGAAAATTTAAATTTTTCTTTTTATCCACCAAATGAACGAAAATACTCCATTATTACAATGCGTTTTATGCTCAATTGGTGAGTGATTCAAAACCTAGGTTATGTGTATTCTGAATGAATTAAAAATTGTACCTTCGTTCGTACTGAACATTGCGATCTAGTTTATTATTAAGCGACAAGTCAATGAACAAATAGGCAACAAAGGTAAGATAATTGTAATTTATCTGAATACTTTACAAGCTATTGTTATAGCGTCAAGTTAATTTTTTTTTAAAACAGCCGGAAATTAAGGCAGAAAATCAGGGCTTAAACGAATTAATGTATTCAGCAAATGTTTATTTCATGATCTGTTAGCCGTTATCAGTTGATTGTAGCACCACAAGGTAGATTAAATAGTAATTATTGATACCATATATTCATTATTAATAATTAATGCATGAAAATTTACTTATCAAATTCAATACCAAAACCTAATTAATTATGAAATGATTGTCCTGCAGAGCTGTTATTAAAGTATATCATATTTAAAGTGTAATAGTATAAAGGATTCTTTAACGATAAAAGTCATCACTCTTAAATCAAATGGTATTTGTTTAATTGGTTCTTATCTTTTTGTTTTTCCTCTTCGATGAATTGACTAACTCCAGCTTGCGAAACACACACTAATAAATCAATTTATGGTAAAAAAAAAACTTAACATTCCGTCCAATTACCATTTGAATATGGAAAAAAAATCCATTATAAATTCAACTGCTTAATAAACAATGAGTCATCATATGTATAAGCCATATGTACTAGTAGATTGCTCATTTCTTTTTTAGAAAGTAAGCAGATTATTTAATGCAGGGAAGCAAAGAAAAAGAAATCGATTAAAATTGATTATATTTTACACATTGAAGTATTCACTAATGTGCTAATTTATTGTTTTGAATGAAAATAAACATTTCGAAAGTGATTTAACAAAATCATCAATGCTTAGCTTAGTTAGTAGTGACATAATGAATATAAAACGAAACAACGAACAAATAATTGAGTAGATGCATAATTTTTAAAGGAACAAAGCTGGATTATATTTAAAAACCATCATCTGTTTCAATTGCCCCACGCTCTAATTCACATGGCCTATGAAATTCTTGACCGCGTTCATGAAACCATAGATTCATTACCCATTTCGAGCCAGCTAAAACTGGGCAAGCAGCGTGTCTAGTTCGTAGGTCACCTTCTCCACTAGGCAAAAGATTAAACCAGAAACCAGCAGCTCCTTTTTTAGGGACTACACGTGTACCGATACGGTTAAATACAGTGGCTCCTCCTGCTTGTACATCAGATAACTAGAAGTATAAAAAGAGCTGACGTTTAAATCATCAACATTCAGAATTTCATGTTGAGTATGTAACATAAGCCTTGACCAATTATTTAGAAATCGTGAAATTTTTAAATGGAAAAGAAAGAAACTTGGAAGAATTTTCACGTAATTATAAACTGATCGAAAAATTGTTCCTCATCCCAGTGACAGTTAGATCTCAGAATGAGTTCTTATACAGCTCTTTTTTGTTTTGGCTGGACATACACTTCTATATCATAACAGATATGATTATCACTGAAAATTCACATAGAAGTAAATAATAACTAAAGAGTAGAAATCACCTTCACTTACTCAGTGGGAGACTTGGATAAATTGATAAGTTTGATGTGATTGTGTGTTACACCAAAGTATAGATGGACTATAGAAGATATCGACACACAAAGGCAATAAGTGAACCAAGAGACACTGATAAAAGAGATAATGATGAAGTGGAATAAGTTATTATTAAAGAACGTTGGCTTAAGTAAATGGGATGCTAACAGGTTGCAAACAGCCATTCAGTGCTTCAAAACTGTGAAATTGTGTGGTTGTTTATGAATTTTAATTTATCCATCCCAAATAGACATTAAGAAATGTATATTTAATATGATGGGGATCTTTAAACGATTAAAACGTATATTTACAAAGAAATAGTTTTTTTTTGAACTCCGTACACACTTTGCATACTACAATGCATAGGTGTTAACTTTAACGTTAGAACGATGAAGTACTTAACTTTCGAATAATAGGTCGGAGTTTCAACATGTGCTTCACCTACCTTAGGTTGGAGAGACGGATAATATGATTAACCGTTACACAAATAATTTGAACCTGTGCTTAACGGATAGGTCACAAAAATTAGCAACTGAGAAATAAACGAAATCGAATTAGACTAATAGTTAGTGGAATCGGTGCCAAGTATCAATTACTGTTTCTTTACATGAAGCTTGAAAACATAAGTATTATCTGGAAATTTATAATTTATGAAGAAATGATCAGTGTATTCTAGTATAACATATGGTATAATTTTTAATTTCATAAGACTATGTCCTATAATTTTGTTTGACAACTACTGTTGATCACAGTACTGTGGTGACGACAAGTTGGTATTTTGTCAAAAGCTAACAATCAAAAATCATGTCCATAAATAACATGATAGGATCAGTTTCTACAGCGAACTCCATTGACGACATGTTAGTTTTTTCTTCATGGGAAATCATGTACTGAAGTCGATATAATTTCCAGATGCACCAAAGTGAAAGTCATTCACTTCATCTTTTACTTACATAACCTCAATCTTACACTCAGAAAATTGTTCTTAATGTGAACTAAGCGCAGTCTCCGATAAATAAGAAAGATTCTCATTTTTACGCAATCAGATTATAGAACCTAAAAAATCAAAACGTGTTATATTTCAGTGATTCACAGTTCCTCTAGATAATCTTAGCAAGATGATCTTATTGTAGTGGTGTACATATTTGTAAATCCTACATCACCCAATGGACTAGAATGCAAATGTTCTTTTAGAGTAGATAAGGAGTATTTATTTGTTACTGATTATTTTTCTAAAAAATCAGTAAACTTGTTGAGGTATGAAACTAAGCTTTGAATTAGAAGTAATTATGGTGTTGACGTAGCGGCAACTGCAAGGATACTCCACATTCTCTTCAATAAGATTCGGGATGAGGAACAAGTACCAAAAGACTGGAAAGAATGACTTCTAATCAAAATACCGAAGAAAGGCGATATCAGCAACAGTGATAACTACAGGGGCATCACTCTTCTCTCAATAGCAGGAAAAGTCTTCAACAGGGTATTGTTAAACAGGATGAAGGACTGCGTAGACGCCCAACTTCGTGACCAACAGGCAGGATTCCGTAAGGATAGATCGTGTACAGACCAAATCGCAACTCTAAGGATCATTGTGGAACAATCAATTGAATGGAATTCATCACTCTACATCAACTTCATTGACTACGAAAAGGCATTTGATACCGTGGACAGAACAACACTATGGAAGCATTTTCGACACTACGGCGTGCCTCAGAAGATAGTCAATATCATACAGAACTCAGATGATGGATTACACTGCAAAATCGTGCATGGAGGACAATGGACAAAGTCGTCCGAGGAAAAGACCGGTGTTAGGCAAGGTTGCTTACTCTCACCCTTTCTCTTTCTCCTGGTGATCGACTGGATCATGAAGACGTCAACGCCTGAAGGGAAGCGCGGGATACAATGGACATCTAAGATGCAGTTGGATGATCTAGACTTCGCAGACGATCTGGCCCTTCTATCCCAAACGCAACAACAGATGCAGGAGAAGACGACCAATGTAGCAGCAGTAGGTCTCAATATACACAAAGGGAAAAACAAGATCCTCTGATACAACACAGCATGCAACAATCCAATCACAATTGACGGAGAAGATTTGGAAGATGTAAAACCCTTTACGTATTTGGGCAGCATCATTGATGAACAGGGTGGATCTGATGCAGATGTGAAGGCGCGGATCGGCAAAGCAAGAGCAGCATATTTACAACTGAGGAACATTTGGAGCTCAAAGCAACTGTCAACCAACACCAAGGTCAGGATTTTCAATACAAATGTCAAGACAGTTCTATTGTATGGGGTAGAAACCTGGAGAACTACGAAAGCCATCATCCAGAAAATACAGGTGTTTATTAACAGTTGTCCACGCAAAATACTTCAGATCCATTGGCCTGACACTATTAGCAACAACGTACTGTGGGAGAGAACAAACCAGATCCCAGCGGAGGAAGAAATCAGGAAGAAGCGTTGGAAGTGGATAGGACACACATTGAGGAAAGCACCCAACAGCGTCACAAGACAAGTCCTCACATGAAATCCTCAAGGCTAAAGGAAAAGAGTAAGATGAAAGAACACACTACACCGAGAAATGGAAATAGACATGTGAAAAATGAACAAGAATTGGATGGAACTAGAAAAGAAGGCCCAGGACAGAGTGGGTTGGAGAATGCTGGTCAGCGGCCTATGCTCCATTGGGAGTAACAGGCGTAAGTAAGTAAGTAAGTAAGTAAGTAAGTATGGTGTCGACAGATTGAAACTAAACAAAGATATTCACGGTTACAATAATTATAAATTATAAATCCAGGGTAAAATTGCTTGGAATATGAAAATGAAGATACAGTAAGGTGAAAGAAGTAGACCTGATTTCGATGAGTTTAGCTTAAAAACTATTCACACAGTATATTCAAATAAATAGACATTGAAGAACTTCTATGAACACTGCCAGTCCCAAACATGGGAATCCCATTTAATTGGAACCTATTTCTATCGGTCAATTTGTCTTGCAAAACACTACTTACTTATCTTGTTGTGTTTACGCGAGACATAAAAGCTCTTTCACAAAGTCTTCTGTTTCCTTACTCGGGTGTAGTAATGATTGTTTTTTATTAGCCATCATTCTATTTAGTTGCATTGGATCTAGTATTGCTTCAGAAGTATTGCCTATTGTCCATATTCAGACCTTAGCCTTTATTAATTCCTGTGCTCAAAAATAATAAGATTTAACGAACGGTCCCCATCTTGCATAAAACTTACCTAATTCCTGTAATCTTTCTATCTATTTAAAGAATCTAGGATCATAGGAGGTACACTAATCATATCAGTAGCTTAGTTGCGCTACAGAATGTGCCGGTTCAATGTGACTCTCACATTAGATACTGTTCCTCTCATCCTTGTCTTAGGAATGAAGATAGTTATACTCGGCGTAACAGAATCCACTAAGTTTTCCCCATCCATCTACGTTCCTAGTACTATGTTGAAAACATGCAGTAAATTGACAGAAATCGAAAAGATTCAGTTAACGTAAAACCTAAGAGCAGTAAAATTCCCAATATTTATTTTCATTATTATAATCATTATTATTTCTTGTCAAGTCTTTCTTGTATAACTTCTTTCTTATGTAGCTAACGTGTATAACGGTTTCAGTCTACACACTAACTTCAGTTCTTCAGTTGAATAAACTGTCCTGACCTCCATACTCAAATTGGCTCTGGATAATCGCAATCCAGTTAAAATATAAAAAACCGAAATTATTTCAGGAGTTCAATAAAAACTATAATCCTGGCTGTTCAATTCCGACTGAAAGTACAAATATAAAGTTACCTGTGGAACTAACTAATAAATAATAACACTTACATAAAAAATAATTGTAGCTATTCTGTTCCCATTTTTAACTTCGAATGCGTCCTTTTCTCTTTTCTGCAAAAAAATAAGCAAATTAGTAAACATACTATGCACATACTTCTAACAGTTTTCGTCAAGATATAATACATCGTATTCATTTATCATCGGTAAACAAAGAGGATATTCTGCTAGTTTACTAAGTTCCTTTATATATTTATTGTAATAAGGTAAAAAGATTATGATGACTGGAGAATACCTTAGAATGAAATCCTAGATATCTTCAATTTCTAGTCCATTTATATTATTAGCTTAACAAAGACCAAACTTTTCTAATTTTTTTTTGTAATATGTTGCTTTACTTCTGAAGATTCTTTTCCTTTCTACAAAGAGATGATATTTTTAAATTATCTAACTGATCAGCTAATAGTTAATTAATTTATTTTTGTGAATTTTAAAGATGGCTTTGGTACAAAAAAATTGGAATTCACTATGTATTAATACATCCGATTCTGATCGAAATCTATTGATTATGGAAATGTTAAAATTTGGGGATGGTAGTGAATTCCATTTGTTATTATATGTTGGAACATGTTAATGTGGGATTTCATAACAACTACTCTATTTTTTAGTGAGAAAACAAGCTTTGTGGGGGGTAAGTGGCAATCACGCACTCCGTTACAGTAAGTAAAAGAACAACATCAAAAAATCAATCAGTGGAGAGACCAAAGTTAACTATGGAATTCAAAAGAAACGATAATAAAAGTCCCAAAGAATGAAGAGTCACAAAACATGACGAAGCAGGTATCTAAAACTACTTACTTCTTAACGGTCTTTCTACCTGATATAACGCCAGTATTACGAAGTTCATATTTAGAACTTGATTGCATTCGTCAAGAATGACCCAATACATTTGATTCAATACAAGTGATTTACAAGGAGGCAGACAAGCAGAACGTAATACAACAAGACTCAACTATATTATAAACCTACTGTTTATGTTTCAGGTATTCAGTTTAGCCAATAACATTAAGTGTACGACTATTTGACTTACAGAAATATAATCCAACCTATAAGAGTCTATTAGGTCCACGTATAGACTTGTCATCAGAAGCGTTACTTGTTCAATTCGTCATTATGATCACCATAAATTATCTACACTGAAAGTCAATTTACAATTGGAATAGCTGACTAAAGTTAGTAAATTCATAAACAGTAAGGATTACTTAGATATTGAGACCACGATTACTACGGTAACTAGAAGTAAATTGTTGACCTTGACATACAATTTTAATGCGAAACCCATCAACATAGCAGAAATTTAACAGGGGGAGCTAAAATTCCATTGCTGTAACTGGAAACTTAAAAAACTAATGTCTAGAGTCTACAAAATATTGAAAATGTTTAGGAACTTACTCGACCGAAATCAAAATGTGGAGCATAATGTCCACCCAACCCATAATTACCGACTTGTAGATCTTCAGCAGTCTCAAGGGACAAACCTGTAACAGCTCGTATACGCTGACTTATCTGGTCAGTAATTTCAGTCATAGAATGAGGAAGCCAAGCGCTAAATGAAAATGGACCACATGTTAGTGAAGTTGGTGATAAAAAATATTGTTCAAATGATGACATGATTGTTGACTAAATGAGTATTGTAACATAATTTGTGTTACATACATAAAAATAAAGCTACTATGATGATCAACTAATAAAATAAGTCTAAAGTGATTCAATATCTCATGTTTCACATCCAGAACATACGGACAACTAGATCAGAAACCCTTTACGAGTTCTTAGAAAACGCAGTTTTCCGAATAATGGAACTGGTGCACTTTCTAAGTAATTTTCTATATGATTTTCAGAAAAGTGTATCGTGCGTAAGTGCAATAGATTTGAATAAGTCGCTATGATGTCAACCTTGTATTATAATTTGAAACTGATCTAGATATCTTAACAGTGTGTTTCGTCGGCCACACAATTATCTATAATTCATTTTGATAAAAAAATATGTTAACCATACGACAGAAAAAATACATGTATTCAAAAGACAATTAAACCTGCTAATGCTTTACTAGAGTAAGAATGTAACGTATCTCAGTCAAACAGACAACTGTTTATGAACCAGAAGAGTTCAACAAAACTACCGTTTTTTACCTACACACTTCAACAGTGTGATAAGTTCAGTTCTTAATAAATTATGAAGAAATCGATGTTTGATTTAGCCGAATGGTCATAATCATAGATCAAGAGTGTTTTAAAAATATCAACCGCTTCGTAAATTAATAAGTCACAGTCTATACATCATGGTGTTTATATTTAAGCAATGTTAGGGTCCTAGATATGAAGATTATAAGTCGAAAAATAGCATATAGAAGGTTCAAAAACCGTAGAGTAAATCTGATTGTCATGTTTAATTTCAAGTTGATCACGGGCTTTGAAGAGAAATCAAGCTGCCAATGTAAGTTAGTAGTGCAAGTATTTCAAATCTGTTGGCATCAAGAGCGAATTTTGAGAAAAATTATGGGCTTTGAATTCCGGCCACTAAATTTTCGTTTTAATGAAAAATGACAAATATTGATTGATGTTATCAAAAATAAAACGGTGATGCAATGTCTATACGATTATTCAACAATTTCCCTCACTAGTACAAAAACCATTTGATTATCACGATAGAGGTGGTAAAACAGAGTCTGTATTAGAAATATATTTAGTTACCACAAAGTGTAATGATGAATAAATTTCTTTAATTATCATCTCGGATTTGTTTTTAATCTATGGGAAATGATTCACTCTTGAGATAAATATTCGAAGTGTATGATTTGCCTGTAAAATTGAACATTCTGAAATATGAATAGTTTTATTTAATCTACTGATTATTATAACAGTTATGTACTGTAAAATAGGAAATAAAAACCCACGTCTAGTTAAAATGCCGAAATATTCAACATATTTGTGTGGTTTAAAAATAATTCACCTTTTACTGGTTCTATAAAATGCTACCTCTAAGTTGCCAGTTACTGGATTTTTAACCGTCGCCCTACGGAGCTGAAAAAATTTAAAGTAAAAGAAAATGATATCACTTACGTAAAAAAAGAAATGTGTAAATGTGGTGTTTGAATGAACTGATGATTCCTTTGTACCTGTTGAATGCTTGATTTTGAATTCCAAATACGGCGCATTTGTTCGTGTTTGTCTAGTACTTCGTTATTTAATTGCGTTATTTCTGGGATTCTAAGTTTATACTGTAATTCAAATACTCCTAATTATCACAGTAAAATGTGGTATAACCGTCGGGTAAGACATTTCAGAGAATTCCTTAGTCATAAAATATGACCAGAAATCGAATACAACTTCATGTATGTTGACGAAAAGGTTACCGAGTAATATCGATACTTCACTTACATAAAGTGATTCGTCACAAAATCATTCAGTCTAAGATTTAAAAAAAGAAAGCAGTGGATACTATACGGATGCAGTGTTTGGAGCGTGGGACCCTTATTAACACAAGAGAGACATTCGAATAATTATTTACTCTTATAACACTGTTATTTGTCCCATGACCATTTAATTGATATCGGTGATGCGAAGTAACTCTTCTTAATCTATGGATTTATAGAATTTAATTGTGAATCTTGTCATATATACATTCAAGATACTTCGATCTAAATAGATGCATATAACTATCTGTATATAACGAACTGTATTTGTTAACACTTCGTAATATATTAGCTACTAGTTTCATCTTCACAAACTGGTAGAACGATTATCCCTCTCTGAGTTAGTAAAAAAGTAGAGCAGTGGGTTGCTTAAAATATGTGCAAGTTATAGCTTACAGTAATGGTCATTTCGGATCATAGTTACGGAAACGTCAAAAATAATTCGTAAGCAGATAAGTACGAAAATGTGAATAAAACTTTGAGAGGTTTTCCTTAAACAAAAAAACAAGACCGGTACAGCAGTATTACATCAAGTTTAGTGTAGCCCCTAAAAGTGTAACCTCTATTGACATCAGTTTTTATAGTTGAGACGCTGAGTGAAGACAGGGGAAATATCGAAAAAATAGAAACTTATATTCAGTCGACAGAAAAATATCTATAGTTTATCTGAAAAGCTATCAGTGACCTAGGTAATCCAGAAATATTAATTCAACGTTGAAACATAAGTCTGTTGTAAATATACTACGATAAAACCAAGTGATAACTCATTCTTCTGAAGTGCAAAATAATATGTTTCAAATAATTTATAGAACACTGAGTTAAAACGTTTAAACACTGATGAACTAAAAACGCTCGATCCAATATTCACAGCACAGTAATCTATCTTTGCAGTTTTCATTTACGTAGTTATAAGTTCCATACATACTCTAAAAATAGTTTTAGACTTCTAATAACGAGTGTTTCAATATACTGAACGAACCATTTTTCAGCTATTAATTTGCATCAACTGTTCTTATATTCTAGTTTCTAGTGTAAAAAAAAGCTAAGAATATAATTATGAAATAGAACTAACTCTTGGTGTAGCCAGTTCTTTGATTTTTTCAATCTCCGATGGGAAAATCAAATCGTACCACATTACAATACGTGGATCAGGGTTTAAAGTTTCCTCCTTAATTGGACCAATTCTAAAAAACGCATGAGGAGTATAATATTGACATGTTAGGTGACGTGATGGGACTGTAGGGAAGGGATTTTCATTACGACATAATGATTCGTATAGCTCAGTTTCTTGATCGTGCTTCGATGTAGCTGGAATATGAAAAAGAAAGAAAAATTAACGCGAAGAAAGAAACTGTGTGACCATAATTCACTAAGACAAATCATATCTTATTGGCATAGATTGAAATCATCAGGTTAGTGATCGAAAAAAGACATCCATAAACTTTACCCTTATGGTTTTCGATTGAACTAGTATCATAACGTTAATTTTTAATGCTCGCTAAGCTTTCTTATGATTATCGGAAACAATCCTTCTTAAAATCATCGAGTATGTCCTAGTGTCATTTAAATGATGTTAAACAATATTCAACTATAATTCAACACAATGTTACACAGTTCAAAATTGATAATTATGTCAAACGTTTATGTAGATGTGTCTAAAGCAGTTGAGAAAGAGATTGATACAATTATGAGGTATAGTTTTAGAATTTGTGATAACACATTTGAATAAAAAGATACTAACCACTACATAGGTTTTCTAGATTAATTATTTACGTGAACTAAACATAACTAATATTACAGCTCAAAAGTACAGAGATCTATTAGCTTACAGAACGAAAATTGTTTCCTTTTTTCGAAATGGAAGTACTGACAAATCTGCACAATATCACAATCAAATTTCCTGGAATCTGTATCGCACATTCACTGTTGATAAACGAATTAGGGTTTATAATTAAATAACTATTACTTCATTTGAGAAATATTCTTTATTGAATTATCGTTGTGTTCTACCAATTTAAATGCTGTTAGGTGTTAATATATTTGGGCAGATAGACTAATGGTGACACTGGATGTGATCGCTGATTAAGATGTACACAAGATCGTAATACTAAAGATAACTTTTTGAGAGAAACCAAAATGATGAATAAGTGAAGTAATTAGACTACGGATTTGAAATTTTACATATATTCAGAATTGAATATAATCATGTGGAAGAGTTACCTTGAGAACGAGGATTTGGACCTATTCTTCCTTCACCTCTGTCTATTTGTTCTACATAGAAGGCTTCATTATTGATAGCCCTTGTATTTGTCGGTTCTAAAAAGAAGTATACACATAATTATTCATCACAATTATTAGGAAAGAAAAATATTTCCCTAAATATCAAATCATTAATCCCCAGGGACATAAGCAACTAGAGAACTGAATAATAGCTAGCAAAATCCTAGTTATCCGGAGAGTACCTGAGTAAAAGACGCTATAAATAACTTACTTGCTTACGCCTCCCATCCATCGTGGAGGAGCATAGGCCACTCACCAGCATTCTCCATCCAACTCTGTTCTGGACGATCCTTTCGAGTTGCTATTCATCATTTCCATATCTGCTTCCCATTCCAGACAGTGTGCTTTTTGGTCTTCCTCTTTTTCGTTTCCCTTCAGAATCCCAAGTTAGGGCTTGCCTCGTGATGCAGTTTGGTGATTTCCGTAATGAATGTCCTATCCACCTCCAACATATTCTCCTAATTTCTTCTTCAGCTGGAAGCTGATTTGTTCACTCCCACAGTAGGCTATTCCTGATGGTATCCGGCCAATGGATGTTGGGTATCTTGCGTAGACAGCATTTATAAATACTTGTACCTTCTTGATGATGATTGTAGTAGTTCTCGAAGTTTCAGTTCCGTACAGTAGAACTGTCCTGATGTTCGTATTGAAGATTTTGACTTTGATATTGGCTGACAGTTGTTTTGAGTTCCATGTGTTCTTCAATTGTATTAATGCGGCCCTTGCTTTGTCAATCCATTTCTTTACTACTGCATCTGATCATCCTTGTTCATCGATGATGTTTCCAAGGTACGAGAAGGTTTCTACATCTTCTCCATCCAGTGTGATTAGGTTGGTGTTCTCCATGTTGAATTTCAGGATGTTGCTTCTCCCTCTGTGTATGTTGAGACATACTGCTGAAGAGTTAACTGCTACACTGACTGTCTTGACCTGCATTTGCTGGTGTGTATGTGATAGATGGACCAAGTCATCTGCCAAGTCAAAATCGTCTAGTTGCATCCAAGCTGTCCATTGTATTCCATGCTTCTCATCAGATGTTGAGGTCTTGATAATCCGGTCGACCGCCAGAATAGTAAGAGAGAGAGAGAGAGTAAGCAATCTTGTCTAACTCCCATACTCACTTGGAATTCAACTGTCAGCTGTCCTCCATGCACGACTTTGGAGTATAGTCCATCGTATGAACTCCGAATGATGTTGACGATCTTCTCAAAAACACCCTAGTGTCGAACAAGGTTCCATAATGTTCTTCTATCCACGCTTTCAAATGCTTTGTCACAGTCAGTCATGTTGATGTATAGTGACAAGTTCCATTCAATTGATTGCCCAACAATGATCCGTAGTGTCGCGATTTCGTCTGTGCACGACCGATCCTTACGAATCCAATCTTTTGATCTCAAAGCTTAGCGTCTACCGAATTTTCCATGTGGTTCAGCAACACTCTGTTGAAAATGTTTCCTGGAACCGATAGTAGTGTGATGGCTCTGCAGTTTTCACATTTGCCCAGATCTCCTTTTTTGGAATCTTGATGAGGTGTCCTTCTTTCCAGTCCATCGGCACTTGTTCCTCCTCCCAAATCTTTTTGAATAGAAGGTGAAGCATGTTTGTAGTTACTTCGATGTCTGACTTCAGTGCTTCAGCTGGTATGTTGTCGGGTCCTGTTGCTTTCCCTCTCTTGATTTGTCTGGTGGCCATCCTGATTTCTTAGATTGTTTGTGGAGTAACAACTATAGGAAGGTCTTTGTGTGCTGTTTCGATGTCCGGTGGGTTCATTGGAGCCGGCCTATTCAGGAGTTCCTCAAAGTGCTCTACCCATCTGTTCCGCTGTTGTTGAATTTCAGTGATTGGTTTGCCTTCTTTGTCTTTGACCGGTCTCTCTGATTTATTATATTTCCCTGCTAGTTTCTTCGTTGTATCCTAAAGCTGTTTCATATTTCATTCTCATGCAGTTTTTTCCGCCGTCCTTGCTAGTTCTCCCACGTATTTCTGCTTGTCGGCTCTAATGCCCCTCTTCACTTGCTTGTTTGCTCCTGTGTACTCAGCTTGTGCCGTGACCTTCTCTGCTCGTGATCGGCTGTTGTTAATTGCTATCTTCTTGTTCTTCCTTTCTTTGATCTTGCCCAGTGTTTCTATAGAGATCCACTCCTTATGATGATGCTTCTTGCCGCCCAGAACCTCTTGACACGTTGAAGTTAATGCTTCTTTAATACCTTTCCAGTTGTCCTCCATAGTAGTTTCTTCTTCCTTCAGTAGATCCTGTAAGGCTTGGAACCTGTTGTTGAAAGCTATCTTGAATTCATTGAGTTTGTCAGTATCTCGAAGGAAAGCTGTATTGAACCTTTGTAATACTGTTTGTTCAGTCGTTCAGTGCTTATTCAGCTTGTTTCATCTTGCAAACCACCAGCTCATGATCCGAAGCTATGTCGTCTCCTTTCCTCATTTTCACGTCTTCCATTGTCCTTCTGAATGTTTTAGTGATCCAAATGTGATCGATCTGGTTCGTCTTGGCATGATCTGGTAAGATCCATATAGCTTTGTATTTGCGTTTGTGTGTAAAGTGGTGTCACCCATAACCATTTTGTTGAAGGCCTATTGATCTGTAGCTATTCATTCAGTCTTCACGGTCTCCCACATTATCCGGACATTCCATGTACTTATATTGACTTGACTGTTGGTCTGGTTGTCAGAAGGAGCATCAGTCTCGTGACTTCCGAAGAGTTTCAGCTTTCACCACGAGGCGTCATAATTCTTCTGAAAGAAAATCTTTTAACTATCGGGACAGAGTTTAAATGGTTTAAATGATATTCTCTGGATTTCTACTTCAGTATATCATTTCATTTGAATGTTCTTGAACAGTTTTTGGCTTCAAATTTCTTCCGATGAGCACAGGTGGAGAGCTGTTATTGTTGTCTTTTGGAGTTTATTCAGTTGTATATCAAATCTATCTGGGTACATTTTTTGTGACACTTGCGAATAAAGTGAAATAAGTTTTTCTTTCGACTAATTAGTTCTCTACATTCCAAGCTTTGCAGTGATCTATCTGATGTCTTGCCCAGTCAAACATCCAAGAAGTGGAATCGAGAGTTCAGTTGTGACCCTGTCGCGAACTTAATTGATTGGCTGCAGCTATTTAACTCCTTGAGCATGCTATAGAGGCGTCATAATTTTTTTGAAAGAAGATTTCTTAACACCCAGAACAGAGTTTAAATGGTTAAGTTTGTCAATTCTGATCAGTGTTTTTTTTGCAAGGTAGTTTTTTCGGGATAGGGTTGCTGATCCTATAGCCAACCCTCCTCTTTAATCCGGATTTGTGGCCGGCAGTATTCTTAGAAGATCTACAGTCGGAGTTGCTTTTAATGAGGTAAAAAAAATTTCTGGTAAGCTGTTGTATTTTATAACACCACTGAAAAAGGTATCAGTGTTATACTGTGGACGTTTTTGGTTCATTTCTAAGATATAAAAGAGTTACTTTTGAACAATAATCATAATTCCATTATAAATATAGAATTTGTTAAACCAATGCTATCAATTCAGCTGAAACGCTAAACTGAGTACCATGACTACAGGAAAATATATCTGTATATTTATTCTGTCCTGTATGTTACTTGAAGTAAATTTTAAGTGAATAAGTCAATCTAAACTTACCCTCTTCGATTAGCAAACGTGTCACGTTCAGTGCTTCAGCATATCTTCCTTGCTAAAAATGATAGTAAAAGTATGTGAATCATTTAACAACCGGGTGTTACTACTAATGAATTCATAGAATTAAACAAAACAGGAATTAGCTTGAATATGTCTTTTAGTAAATATTTACTGCTGAAAGTTACTTTAAGTAGAGAAATATCTGGAATTATTTAAATAAAAATACACATGGAGATTACCACTTATTACAAATGGAAGCCTTATAACAACAATGAAGATAATTAATTTAAAAACGTTCATGTAATTGTGTTTTTATTTTAAGGCACCAAACAATAAATGTAGTGGGAGAGGGCCGAGCTCCATATTTATCAGAAATTAGTGATCACATGTCAAGATTATTTTATTTTACCTTAGCTTAAAAGACACGTCATTCATTTTTCACGATAACACTCATTAAGATTTATGTTTACTTTGACATGATTGTGGTCAATGACATCTCCAAGTAAATAAATCAGGATTGTTATGCAACACTGAAGAACATACTGAGCTTTTAAAGATTCCGTTAAAAAAAATTTAATAGTTGAATTCATGAGTCGGTGTAAGCTAGACCGCTGCTCAGGAGTCCCACAATAGGAGGAAACGGCCGTCCAGTGCTTCCAGGTTTTCAATGGTGGTCTAGCCTACATCGACCCTTGAATTCAACTATTAAAATTACTACAATCTCCACAGATCCCATTCCGAATAAAAGAAGTTTTACGCACATAACAGCGAAAGTTTTTTTTGTTAAACGATTAAGCTTGGACAACATGGAAATTACAAAAAATAGTTACAAGAAAATAAAACATCCATCAATACATCGGTTATTATCCGTGGCTCTAAATTAGCGATTCCACTATATTCATAAATATTTTGTACACAAAAATTCATTGTTAAAAAATATAAAACAGTTAAACTATCTCACGAAGGTATTTGACATTTCTCATCTTAAAATGACTAGTAATTATTAATGAATTATTACTAATCAAACAGGAATTGTAATATTCAAATGAACAGAAACTGAAAAATGACAAAACTGCGATTTTTATGTCATTAAAATACTAATGAATATTAACGAAAACGGTTTAGGATTATAATACAATCCCGTATCAGAATTCCTATTTATTCGTGGTTTAAACATTTGCTTGATGAAAACGATATTAACTTTTATGATATTCCTCTAGATTGTGAGACAAAGTAAGTTGATGTGTGTCCTATCATATGAATTCGAAAATCTAACACTTAAATTTCATACGCCAGTACTCCCTTAGTCTTCAGATATCAAACGTAAAATTGAAACAAATTAAGTTACACAAATTCAAATAAACAATTATTCAAACTACCTGGACTTTCCAGAATGAGAATTTGTAAGTTGACTCAATTGTTTAGCACTTCAGTAAGAGATGCTAATCATTTTCTAATAACTAGGTGAGTAAAAACAATCAGTCTTTGATAATTTTGATTTTGATTATTACCCTGAAGAAGTCCAGACAAGTTAGCTGGACGAAACGTTGGAATTAGTTAAATTTCAATCGCTGAGAATATTTCAAATATAATTTTCACATATAATGACTTCTCTATACTCGGCGCTCAATTACTGTCAAACTATTCGTTCTAATCTTGACGAATATTCGTATAAATCAGTTTTTGTGTTTATAAAAGCCTAAAATTCAAGTTGTATAGTGTGATCGTTAAGTAAAACGGTAGAAATACCTTAGAAGTCGAATGATTAAAAACAAGTTTTCGGTATAAAACTTAAACAGGTTAAATGAAGAACTTTCACTTACTCGTCCAAGAGAATAGGCAAGATAGTCTAAAATTTGTCCAACTGTCGGTTCAGTTTCTCCATTTTCTTCAGTTTCGTCACTTGCGATGGTAGTTCCTTGTGCATCAACCTCTTTTTTCTGTTCTAATTCATCAAATAACCGATCATAGGCTACACGAAACCATTCTTCTGATTGTTCAAAATCGCCCTGTGAATAGGCATGTCTACCTACTTCCAAGCATTGAGCAGCTGAAATATTGAGAAAAAAAGTCATCGAAGAATTCAGTTTTTGCACTCAACAGAAGCCCCATATAGACTTAGAATATTTAACCGCGGTTAAATTGAATAATGTTGAGTAAATTAAATTGTAATTTATAGTCATGACTCTACTTGACACTACATCTATGCGGTTCGAAGCATTATGTGACTGTCCGTTTAGTGGTACATGCCATCATGTAATTAAATCATATATAACAATTACATGAAATAAATAATAAAACTTGGGAACAAGAGGTAACGTAACGGTAAATCATAAATGCTCCGATATTGTAAATAATTTGTTTAACTGAATCTTTCATAGTAGCGATCGAGATATCAGTAAACGGTAATAACCGACACTTGTTCGGTTTTTGGCAAATCGGTTTACTTTACAGATCTGTTTCTGACTTCTGATTAACGCTTTAAAAATAACACTGTAAATTCAAGATGTTTTCGTAAGACCTCTGAAAATCTCTTCAGCATCTTCTTTTGCCTAACCCTACTGACATTCTGAATAATGTAGTTGGAAGTGACTAATTTCTATGATCCTAAAAGAGATGATGATTTTGACAGCGTTACTAAAATACCTGTTAAAGCAAGTTTTCGTCGGAATATCTCTATCTTAAGCAATAAATATTTACGAAGTTTTCGAGTAAGAGTTTTAGTTAACTAGGTGTATGCACGAAACTAACTAATCACAATATCAGATATCACAGGTGTACTCTAATTTAATTAAAATGTTAATTATACTAATAGTATATGTAAGGTGACTAATAAGCATAAACACGGAGTGATTATACCCTTAAGTCAAGAATTCCTACTTTCAGTGGAAATTGAGCTTCTACCACTTTGTGTAAATCGTTACAGATAACAGTAAATGTAATTCAGTATACAAACTTCCGTTAATATTTTATTTTAACTGTGATCTACGAAAAAATACATAGACAATGCTTATTTTAAAAAGCAAATATATTATATTTCTCTAAGTCATGCTTAGTAACACTAAATAGGGTTCAGATAAAGAAAAATGTTAGACAGTGTTTAGAGTTTCACTCCGTTATCATATTTAAATAACAGTCAACTTGTTACAATATAGAACTATAACTTTAAAGCACTTTGAGCACAAGTCAAGAAGTTGATGACAGAGATTTGAGAGAATTTTATTATGAGAAAACCTTATGAAAAATTTTAAACAATCACGCTGTCATACACAGAAGCTGCCAGTAATTCTGTGCTCTATAACTCCTAATAGCTTCAACATTAATATTGAATTAAGACAGAAATCATCTACAGATTCGCTGGAAACTTGTTATTGTTTTAAAAAAATAATCCATCAAGTAACAAGGCTGGAAACAATAGAAAACAATTATTTTTTTTTAAAAAAAATAAGCACAATCTGCAAAATTAGACAAAATGATTTAGGAATTTACTGATTATTTTCAGCGATTTGTCCTACAATTACACGCAGAAATAATCATGATTAGTATAAATTAGATTCAAGTATGTAGATTGGAACAATTAATATAGCAAAACCATGTACTCTCTTAGGTAGTCTCTATAGTTAATCATTTTTCGTATGAGATAAAATTGTCCTACTGGATTAAGTGAATAATATTCCAGCCTTTTAATTAGATTGTAAGAATATTACATTATTTACTAACAAATTAAGAAATTCATGATTCTTCAGTTCAGTTCGGTTTAGGATTAAAATTATTTATAAATCAACCGAACCTCCATCAACCATCTGGTCTATAAAACTAAAAATAGCAGTATCAAAAGCGGATCTTTCTGTAATATGGGTAGTAAGTTTGAATGAATCAAGTCAGTACAGTAAGACGATCCAATGAAAATCAAAGCAAATGCCTACTGCTTACAACAGCTCAATCAAGTTGTAACTTTTCAGAAATACAGTTTTAAAAGTAATTCTACATATTAGACTCCTATTATTGTGACCTAATATGTAGGTAAATCAATGGTAATAAAATTATACTGGAATCATTAAGCTATCTCTCGACAGTATAATTAATAAACTTTTAGAGTTCACTTTAGAAATATCTCATTATATATATGCAAGAACGTGATATAAGTGAGCCAATATGAACAGGAATCTTCCGCTATTATTAATAAAGCAGTAATCGTTAATCATCCTAGTTTTTCCCCCTTTATATTACTTACCTTTTAAAGTCAGTAGTAAGTAATCACTGAAAGGAGAGGTACCTATACTTTCCATTGACATAACTAATTCAAGAAATATTCTTAATCAACTTGGTAGTATGCAATCTCTAGAAAGCTATTCATGAACTAACACTGAAATGCTCCTACCATCTGTTAAAAGAGTTTTCATTTGTTAAGTATTTTTTGCAGCAGATCGCTCAAGATAACAATCAAAATCAACTGGTGAGGATCAATTCAGTTAATAAGATGCTTAAGTGGTACATTTAACCACACTCTTTATAATCTATGAATATTTCAGTTGATCTCAAAACAGGATCTTAGGTTGTCCATAGAGGTCAGAAAAGTTCAGACATAAACACTAAGGAAAAACATTCTATTCTAAGAAATTCATCAAGATGTTGCAACTTTTAAAAAGTTAACAAACTTACCACTCAGTTGAGGAGTTGACAGATTATCAATTAACTGACCGTAAGCAAGCTGTCTAGCTGGTAGTTTATATGTAGACTGTAAGCGTAGAATTGCATCTACTGCACCACTGACATCATTATCACCAGGTAGCATATCTGTATGTTGTTTAACACGTGATCGAATTGTATTCATTGTGGTTGTGTTTTGAGCATCAGAAATATTTAAATAGTCTGACCCATCAGTATCACCCTTCTGAAAACCGTTTGGTACATTGTCAACAAGTTGACTGATTTGTGATTTCCAACTTGATGAAAGACGCTTCATTGTAAGATAAGCATTAATCGGATTGCCTAAATATTCTTCTAGGTCATTATTCTGTTGACTTAGTGTTGACGAGGCGTCACTAATTGATCCATTAGCATCCAACACTTTGACAACTTTCCGAATACGATTAAGACGTCTCTCTTCAAGGGCAATGTAAGAATTTAGATCGGACACTAGTTCTTGACTTAACCTCCATGCTTTCGTTATATCAATAACAGCAGTGTAGTATTCGGCATTTATGTTCTGTTGAAAAAGCAGTAACCAGGTAATAGTGAATGAAAGCAACGCCATTCTCGTTGTTTACAGTAGTAGAAAATGACCCGTTAACAAAAATATTGTGTTAATCAATCAGGGAAACTGAATATGAATTTTTATGATCGACAGACAAACAGGCAGTTCATTTATAATAAGCAGGAAAGTAAGTAAATAAACAAAACATCGAATTCCACCAATAATGTTACTTAGTTCATTTAGTGTGCCTTTCAATGTGCCCTTTACATGAATTTATACGAAACGGAAAGACAATTGATTATTTCCAAGCCTTTTTTATAGTCGTTAAATGAAAGAACTGTCATTGGATAATGACGGAACGCACACTGGTGAAAAGGGAGAATTGAATAATCCCAACAAAATTGATTAGAAACTATCGTAAACTGACGACCAATATAAGAAGGAAAATTGTTATCTAAATACTGTTTGGAGTGTTGATACGGTACCCCTTTTGTTGATAAGTTCCTCTGTTCCATGCCTGAAACATACGATTAAACCATTTCAAAGAAATCTAATGATCAGCATTTACATGAACTCAGTTTGTTAAGAAGAAGAAATAAGAAAACTGCTTTTGAAAATTAAATAATTTCAGTCGCTGAGATTATTTCAAATATACTTTTCACATAAAATGTCTTCTCTATGCTCGGCGCCCAATTTCTGTCAAACTATTCGTTCTAATCTTGACGAATATTCGTACAAATGCTTTTGTTTAGCTCTACAACGAAAAGCTAATTTGACTGAACGTAACCTTTCCTCCTTCTTCCAAACTGGTAGCTGATAACATAACAAACCATTCGTTCATTTCTGACATAGCTGTCTATCTTTTAAACTTTCCAGATCATTAAGATACAATAATTTACAATTACACAACTAAGAAAGTCAATTGAGATAAATAATTGAATGGTTAATTCACAAATAACTAACAGATCAAAAACTAACTTACCAACAACTTATACAATAATACTGCAAGAGAATTACATTTTTGTCATGTGCGCTTTGTTTAAACAAAGTTATCATTCTAGATACGGCCTTATAATCTTCATATTTGACCGTTGCGTTTAGTATCTGCTCAACAAACATTCTGTCATTATGAACATGAAAACTAATCATCTCGTAAAAATAAACAATAAACTAACAACAGTATCTGTAACCCAGGATCGGTTATCAAAAGACTAGGAAAACGCCATAGTAAGTTCCGTCTTCAAAACAGTTACGAAACATAAACCTGAGAACTATCGACCCGTAAGCCTAACTAGCATGGTTGTTAAAATTTTAGAAAACATTATTCGTAAGTTGTTTAAGCATCTCGACGAAAACCGGATTCATTCTGAAAAACATATGTAAGCGAACAATATTGTTCTCGATTAGATCTTCATCAAGGTTTACTCTAATATACAGTAATATTTATATAAATATACGAAATCATTATCGTATTCCTATTAGTTTTCCTTATGGGGTTCGATCTGGTCTCTTAGAGATACCAGAAGCCATAAGAATTCGAGTTAACAAACCAAGTCTTTGTATTCCTAAGAAATTTGTAACACTTATCTCTCCCTTGGCCTTAATAAGTGATTTCATTTATTATTATTCTCCGTACTCTTTTTTCGTTTATCTTTTTTCACCTACTCCACCTACTTTTTATATACACTTCATTGTCCAATTGTCTGAACATACTTTATTACATAATCTTATGGTTTTTATGAATACCATTTCAGCATCCATATTTTTCAAGGCATTATGAAACATCGATTCAAGCCTTTGTTATTCTTATCACAACTAGTATACCTGTAATCATATTATCAATTTGTACCTTTTACTTATTAAGTTTATTTATGTAATTTATTCCACTGTTATCACTGACTGAGACAAGCCCTAACTTTGAATTTTGAAGGGAAAAGGAAAAGAGGAAGGCCGATGAATACACCACATCGGGAATTAAAACACATGAAAAGGAGTAATAGCAACTGGAAAGGATTGCCCAGGACAGAGTTGAATGGAGAGTGCTGGTGGGTGGCCCATGCTCCTCCACAAGGGCTAACAGAAGTAATTAAGTCATCACTGACTAATAAACTACTGTATATTACAGTAAAGCCTGATGATATAATCGAAGAAAATATTGATCGCTTATATATGTTGTTCTAAATCACAATATTGGAATTTTTCAAATCTTTCTGCAAAGCAGCATGGCTTTAGAACAGGTTATTCCTATCTCACTAACTTATTAGTAGCCGGTGAAAGTTGGTGCGCTCTTAAGGATCAAAAGTTACCTATAAATGTAGTCTATATTGAATTCAGCAAAGTTTTTGATACAGTTCCTCACATAGGGCTGCTATATAAGTTAAGCAATTTATTAATGTGGATAAAAGACTTCCTATTTGGGCGCCAGCAAAGAATACGGGTGAACTTAAAGTTGTCTAGCTGGGAAACTGCTTAGAAGAGTGCTTCAGTGTACAGTTTGAGTGCCAATGTTGTTCCTCTTGTGTGTAAATGGCCTTCCTAGTTTCCTATCATCATCGGTTTTTTGTATGCTGACGATGTCAAGATATGACTACACATAAACATTTGAACACTTGTTTTTAAGTAGTTTGTTAATGGCTAACACTGGAATCCAGGAAGCACGACGCGTTATTAACTGAGTTTCTGAAGCTTGGATCGAAAGGTACTATTTTCGAGTTCCTGTGTGAGCATCAACACTGGAATGAAAGTATAGCCAGCTGACATGTTTCAAATGAAACGAAAGATATATTCTAGTGTGGCACCTTCTCTGTTATTAGACCCCTACATAAATTATCCTAACTTTTGAACAGACAAATTATCCTAATCTTGAGAGATGAACTCCGTCTGTAGCTCTTCCAGAGTTACTGCCGGTCCCAAGCCCTAGTAAAAGAGGAGGATTGGGCATGGGTTTAGCGACCCCATCCCGTAGAAAACTAACTCGCTAGAAAACTCAAACCACCTAAACTCTGCCCTGGGAGTTAGAAGGTCTTCACTTAGAAGAACTATGATGCCTCGTGGTGAAAGCCGAATTCCTTCGGAAGTCACGAGGTCGATGCCCCTTCAAACAACCAGATCAACAATTTTTATAGGTACATGGAACGTCCGAACAATGTGGGAGACCGGGAAGACCAGTCAAATAACAACGGAAATGAGGAGATACAGCTTGGCAGTACTGGGAATCAGCGAAACCCATGGGACCCAAGCTAGACAGAAAAGGCTAGGTGCGGGAGAGATGCTGCTATACTCCGGTCACGAAGAGGAAAGTGCTCCACACACTCAGGGAGTTGCTCTGATGCTGTCCAAAGTAGCACGAAATGCACTTATAGGATGGGAATCTCACGGATCCAGAATCATCAAAGCATCATTCAAAACAAAGAAGGAGGGGATCACAATGAATATTATCCAATGTCATGCACCCACCAATGATAGCAACGACGACATTAAAGATCAATTCTACGAGTGGCTGCAATCAATCATAGACAAGTGCCCAACAAAGGACCTCACCATTCTGATGGGAGATCTAAACGCCAAAGTCGGAATAGACAACACTGGATATGAAGATATCATGGGACGACATGGACTGGGAGAGAGAAACGAAAATGGAGAAAGATTTGAAAATTTGTGTGCACTCAACAAATTGGTCATAGATGGCACAATATTTCCACACAAACGTATAAACAAAGCTACATGGATCTCATCGGGCTACACCACAGAGAACCAGATAGATCATAATTGCATCAATAAAATATTCCGAAGGACAATGGAAGATGTAAGAACCAGGAGAGAAGCTGACATAGCTTTAGATCACCACCTAGTTGTAGCCAATTTAAAACTGAAGCTAAAGAAAAACTGGACAACTGGACAAACAGTATTACAAAGGTTCAATACAGCCTTCCTTCGAGATACTGACAAACTCAATGAATTCAAGATAGCTTTCAACAACAGGTTCCAAGCCTTACAGGATCTACTGAAGGAAGAAGAAACTACTATGGAGGACAACTGGAAAGGTATTAAAGAAGCATTAACTTCAACGTGTCAAGAGGTTCTGGGCGGCAAGAAGCATCATCATAAGGAGTGGATCTCTATAGAAACACTGGGCAAGATCAAAGAAAGGAAGAACAAGAAGATAGCAATTAACAACAGCCGATCACGAGCAGAGAAGGTCACGGCACAAGCTGAGTACACAGGAGCAAACAAGCAAGTGAAGAGGGGCATTAGAGCCGACAAGCAGAAATACGTGGGAGAACTAGCAAGGACGGCGGAAAAAACTGCATGAGAATGAAATATGAAACAGCTTTAGGATACAACGAAGAAACTAGCAGGGAAATATAATAAATCAGAGAGACCGGTCAAAGACAAAGAAGGCAAACCAATCACTGAAATTCAACAACAGCGGAACAGATGGGTAGAGCACTTTGAGGAACTCCTGAATAGGCCGGCTCCAATGAACCCACCGGACATCGAAACAGCACACAAAGACCTTCCTATAGTTGTTACTCCACAAACAATCTAAGAAATCAGGATGGCCACCAGACAAATCAAGAGAGGGAAAGCAACAGGACCCGACAACATACCAGCTGAAGCACTGAAGTCAGACATCGAAGTAACTACAAACATGCTTCACCTTCTATTCAAAAAGATTTGGGAGGAGGAACAAGTGCCGATGGACTGGAAAGAAGGACACCTCATCAAGATTCCAAAAAAGGAGATCTGGGCAAATGTGAAAACTGCAGAGCCATCACACTACTATCGGTTCCAGGAAACATTTTCAACAGAGTGTTGCTGAACCACATGGAAAATTCGGTAGACGCTAAGCTTTGAGATCAAAAGATTGGATTCGTAAGGATCGGTCGTGCACAGACGAAATCGCGACACTACGGATCATTGTTGGGCAATCAATTGAATGGAACTTGTCACTATACATCAACATGACTGACTGTGACAAAGCATTTGAAAGCGTGGATAGAAGAACATTATGGAACCTTGTTCGACACTAGGGTGTTTTTGAGAAGATCGTCAACATCATTCGGAGTTCATACGATGGACTATACTCCAAAGTCGTGCATGGAGGACAGCTGACAGTTGAATTCCAAGTGAGTATGGGAGTTAGACAAG